GGGGGGAAGGGAGGGAGGGCTGGAGGGAGGGCTGGAGGGAGGGGCCGGCGATGCAGTTAAGGAAACAAATTTCATCTAAGCAAGCCCCTCGTCCATATCCTGGCCTTCCTCAACCTCTTGACCATTCACTTTTGCGTGCGTGCGTGCAGTCCCACTGCCCGCCACCCCGCCACCCGACCTGGCTACCGGCCTCTCTGCTGGATTCCTGCCGCCCCTCGAACACCTCCTGCGACAATTCCTCGAACGAAAACCCCAAGACGACGACTCCCTACTGAACATCTTAACCCCGGGAGAGTACCTGCTTACCTCTCTGCTGTCCTGGCCTTGGTTGGGCTGTTTGATGGCGTACGGCGACCAACGCCAGGTCGCGGCACTGATCGCCACATTGGGTAGGGGGATGCGGACAACCTGTGTGGATGAGATCTGTAGTTACTATGTGCTCAACGGCGGCTGGCATCCGGACCCCGGCGACAGCGGCGGCAGCAGCAGATCCGACCACGACGACTTACGGAGATCTCTGAAGGTGATACAGAAGGGACTGGTATGGGCGGCTGCAGTCCAGGCGGTGCGGCAGCAAGAACAGCAACAGCAGCAGGAGCAGCAGCAGGCGGTGCGGCAGCAAGGTACGGAGGCGGTTGCTGGGGTAACGACCTCCATCAGCGCCAAATCTACGGCAGGTACCGCGGGTGCTACCGATGGGAAAGAAGGCGGCGGCGGCGGCAGTGGCAGTGGCAGGAAAGATGGTTGTGACGGACATAGCGGTGATGGTGATGGTGATGGCAGTGGTTGCCGTGGCAGCTTAAGCCGCGATGAAGCACCCCCCGGGTTAGCGCCTGGGGCCGATCATCATCGTCAGCTCCTGAGCCTGCTGACATTCGCCTTCCAGGCCTGGTTGCCGATTTGGTCCTTTTATATCACAAAAATGATGTCGTTACAGGCCGCGTCGGACTCGCACAACAAGGCAGTCATTGCAGGGCCGACATCCCAACTGCTCTGCGAGGTGCTCAGGATGGTGGGGTTCGCATTCGACCAGCTAGACTACATCGCCACGGATGCCACCAACAATAGCTGTTGCAACCTATCCGGGGCCGGTGAGACTGACCTGGAGCTGCAGGAGTTTGAGCTCGCTGTACGGGCCGGGTTGCAAAGCGGTTGCAAGACCTGATAGGGAGGTATCGGAGGTGTCCATGGTCTATGGACATGTCTCTGTGGCACTTCGGAGATGCATTTTGCAGAAGGTGTGTTTGCAGCTTGTCAGGCGTTTCCTGCGGCGTGAAGAAATACACGGCTCGCGGGGATCTAGTTGCTTAGCCCGTGCGAAACCCAATAAAAAGTCCTCGGTGTGGGTGCTCCTGTAGTACAGGGGGTAGTGTACAGAGGGCCATGCCTCACACCTGACGCTCGAGGGGGGGTTTGCGTGCGGGTTTGGTGTATTGGCTGTGAGCAGTAATGCGACATACAGGAACTTGCTGCGGCCCTTATAAAAAGAAGGCCCGCACTGTGGATGCGGGAGAGATGCCCGCAGTTGGCCAGATGCCAGGCCGGACGGAAAGCCGAGCAAACTGTGCCTGCCGCAAGTAGGGGAAGGTGTTGGGGACGATACGTGAAACATGGCCACCAGTGCCCTACAGCAGGCTCGTACTGAGTGTTGGGCTTTCTCGCTAGGGTGGAACTACACTCAACAGTTTTAGGTGACCCTAAACCCTAAGCAGCCACGTATATCTATGTTTGGTATTTTAATGGTAGCCCGGAGTAATAATACTCTGCCGGTCAGACAGAGGTTTGCTTGCATAGCATGTGCGGATCTAGTGAGTAGCGGGCCGGGTGTTATTGGAGGGCTGACGGATGCACACAACTGCCAACCCCCGGCGCGGTGACCTCGTCAGCATTTCCATTTTGCCCGCTGCGCCCGTAGAGCGCCGCCCTGGGACCCCAGCTGCCCGGGTGCCCCTAGTAGATGGTCAAAGAGAGAACCAAGACCGCACAGACATGTCATCCTTTTCCTAGCACAACAATAGCCGGGTAGGCAAAGATGTTGCACACAAAAAGAGGCAGGTGGCTGGCAGAGATTAAGGTCTGACTTCTGCTCCCGAAGTGTCCGGGTTCAAATCCGCATGCCGACCCCTCGGGTGAGTGAGGGGTGACGAAATGGGAGAGCAGGGGAGAGCAGGGAATTGCCTTGTACCACCTTGTAACAACAACAAAAAGAAACAGCCTCCAAGTGCGCACATACCGTAGAGCCCCGCCATTATTGAAACGCACCTGCTCTTGGAAGCCAGGGGCAAAGGCTGTGGCCACCCTAACCACGCCAACCCCAAACCACGCGCAATGCCGCCCCCACCCCGACAATTTGAACGTGGAAAGCGATTCATCCAGCTTACATCTGCTCCCCACAGCAGGATAGGCCACCAAGATAGAACCCACTTGCCACTCCTAACATTACTGCCACTCCCGTCGAAGCGGCAGTAGCAACAGCAAAAAGAACGCTCACGCCGTGCCACGTCGGCGCGACAGCAGTGATCGCCGTCCTCTGTCAGTCAGTCAGTCTGTCCATCATTACGCAACCAAGATGACCTTCGCCCGTCACATTTTAGCTCAGCACCTGGGCTTGAGTATCGTTAACGGTTGTGTCAAGCTCAAAAATGTTTCCATGACATACGACCCGTGCAAGAGAAAAAGGACATCCGATACAAAGAAAATGGCAAAGCCTGTCCACGCATTTATGCACGCGGTCCACGAATGTCGCTCTTCGCTCCCGGGAGTGCGATGAGGGTTGCAAGGGGAGCAACGCGAACACGAACGATGCAGAGAGCAGTAAGCAGAGACTGCACGGACCCGGGGCCTGCGGCCACAAACGCAACAGCGCCGGGGCCCTTTGTGCCGCACTACAAGGCAAGTCGGTCTCTAACAGCGCACAGTCTCCGACGCTATCAAAGAGGCAAGAGAGTTTGTCAGCCCGCTGTCCTCAACGTGGTCCGATCATGCCAGTTCGAAAATGCCGCCGACCGCCACTAAAGTCTCTTCCGGGTCCTACACGCAGCTTCAAGGCAGCTTGTGTTCCTTCAGACCTCAGCGCATCGTGTCGAACCCTGGACGTCTGTGCACTTGTTGGGGAGATGGGTGCACATTCCGGGGAGCAAATCTGTCCACATGTGCGTGGATACGTGCCTCGACCGCGCAATGAATGCCTCACCGTCGGCTGTTAACAATGCGGCTGCCGGCCATATGCCTCGCCTGCATTTCCGTCCCGCTGTCAGCACGTCAGTCAGCCATTCTCCCTGTTGTGTGAAACAAACGATGAGCCCCAGAGACGTCTACCGAACCCCACTTAACATAGTTAACTTCCGCATGTGACCATGTGCGTTCACCATATGCCGCCTGCTGCAAAAAGAACGCTCAAACGGCTATGAGCCGTGCCTGTGCCGGCTTCCAAAGGCGGCATCGAGACCCAGGTCCGCGCCTTATGCATAATGATGAGCTGCCCCTTGATTGTCGCTCCTGCGTCCTCAGACTTCCGCTTCCAGGTCCTCTGCCTGAGGCTGCTAGGCGACCAGCTGAGGCGAGGCCAGGCACAAGCGGTCAGATCTGCTGCATCCGCGCAAGGTCAAATGTCGAGGAAGCCTTGCATGCCCGCCCCTACATTCCGATTGAAACAGAATCACAAACGTGCAGGAACGACACACATACACACACAAACGCGCGCGATATCCCCCACCCTCTTTAGGCGTCCGCCGTCGTGCCCTGCACCCCAAAATTTCGAGGTAAACACTCACATAAAAACAGCGCACAACATAGTCATACAACTACCTACATGCATACAAACTACACACGCAACCAGTTCTGCAGCGCCGACACAGATTTTGCATCGGCAATGACGTGATCTCTAGCCGTGCAATACGCACATCTGATCACGTTCAGAGGTAGTACCCCCCTAGCCCAGTCCTGCATCAAAGCGCCATGCCGTGGCATCCCACCCCAACAATAAAGAAATATCCGCCCTTCCCATGTGGCTTCACATCTTTCCCTCCACATGCCCTCCCACTCCTTTCCTTAGCCCCACTTCCGTAGGATAGAGATCCAGCTCTGCGTTTGCAAAGAGGGCAGCGCTAAGCCACACTCGCAACTCGCCCCATGGGTTAGGCATTGCACGGTAGACGCATTCCCGGACATGGATACATCACCCGCGCAGCACCCAATGGCCCAGCAGCACTCACAGCCTCAGCCCGCACACAAGACAGAGGCGGATGTCGCTATGGGTCAAACAATCACGAACACCGTAGAGCTCGACAGCCTGCTGTTATTCATAGCCCCTGTGCCACGCGCCCTGGTATGCCTTCCTGCCGGCCCCTCGCCCCCCACCTTAGGATATTTCCCTCCACCCACCGAAATGCGCGTCTGATGAGAAAAGGCAAGTGCTCCTATTCCCGAGTCATTACCTGCCCCGAATTCCACACCAACAGAGGACACAAACGTCGTGATACGACAAACTGCCGTCATCGCTGCAGCAGCCTACCGGGTCCCCCGGGTCCGCGCCTCACCCTCATTATTGCGTCCTTCCGTCACAAAACCCACCCATACCACCCATGCCGGTGATGCTGATCCTCATTGCCATCGCCCCCATGCTGGTGCGCTACTCGCTGCCCTTACTACTCTGCCCCGACTCAGCCGCCATGAGTGGCTGCTTCTCAGGCGCTTTCTGCGCTGCCGCCGCAGATTGCTTCATCTGCTCCACCTTGGCGTAGTTGTAGTACATCACACCCACGAAGGCCAGGCCGTAACCCATAAGCTGGGTGCGGGTGACCGGGGAGCTGCGGGGCGCGCAGGTGCAAGGTAAATCAGGTTTAGACGTTGCCCCCAACAATGACACGATAAAGCCGGAAGACTTTGGCACATGGGCCGCAGCGGCAGCGGCAGCGGCAGCAAGGAGAAATCAGGAGAAGAGTTGGGGGAAATCCACCGAGTAAAGTGTCCCCCCCGTTTTCCAGACCCAGATCAAGCTGCGGTCCCCCAGAACGGACCGATCCCAAACCCCAGAATCCCAACCCGTTCGCTTACTGGTACATGACCACCGACAGCAGGATGAGCAGCCAGTCCTTAATTACACCCGCCACGTTCATGGTGAGCGCGGATGTCTTGCCGATCAGCAAAAACACCGACATGTTCAGAGCTGCGCCGGTCGGAAGGCGATGAGGTGAGGGAGGCGAAGAGGTGAGGGAGGCGGGAGAACGTGTCAGCAAGGCTGACTAAGGAATGGCGGATACGACACAAGACCCATATGAACATTCGCGAGCCCTTGCTAGCCCAAGTGCAAGTGGGACGGTGCGACCAAGTCGTCTAACGATGTCGCAAATGTTCAACTCCCTTTGCTTTGCTGCGGCCTTAGCTGAAATGCTGCCGATTGGGCAGCCAGCGGGGCGTTACCACAACCCCGCTGGACAAAAGAAGACCTCGCGCTCGCACTGCGGTGTCTGTATTGGCCCTGCCGTGATGTAGACCTGCAACGAGTTCACTCTAAGGGAATGCGCGACCTAAGGAAGCAGTCACATCCCGCTCGCTTGGGCGACGTATGATTCCCCTTGAGGGTCTCCGCCTCATGTCCGGTCAATCCCCTTCTTGCACTCTTTGCCGCCTGCCTGTCCCCTCTCCTTTTCCTCTGCCCCGTGACCCTTGCCTTACTTCATCCCTCCCTTCCCGCTGCTGTCCCGGCCAACCTACCCACCACCAATCCACCCCCGTACGCAATCTACCCACCAAATGCACAGGCGGCACTGGCCAGCAGCACGGGCACATTCACGCGGAGGTTCTTGTCCGCCACCATCTTGGGCAGCTCAATGTAGATGAAGGGCAGGAACAGGAACACGAAGCAGCAGGGCGCAATGTGGTAAAGCGTAGACACGGGGTTCATCTTGATGCCGCGCTTCTGCAGGAGGATCTGCACCAGCGTCAGCCGCACGGACTCCGTAGCGATGGATCCAACCTGGAGCAGCACTCCGATAACCACAAAATGGATCTCGCCTGCATTCATACATACATAGATACATGCAAATAAACATACATGGACACTGGTTCGCAGGTCAGCCAGCCTTTTGTTTTCATGGGACGGGTTCGTAGCTCATTTCGGTATGAAGTTGTTCGTGTACCACGATCGGCATTTAACTCATCGCGCCTCAGATCATTCAAATACGCATGGACACACAAAAAGATGAGCACAGGAACGGTATCTTGTATGAAAAACGACTGCATGTCTGACGGGTAAGGCTTAGGGGCTGCTTGCTGCGAAGGCGGTACGACAGTCAGGCTGAAACCCCATGCGGACGCGCCGCAACACACGCCCAGTGTTATCGGGTCCCCCACACACTAATCCCCTTTTCCGCCGTCCGTGGCTGCGTCTGCCAGCCGAAACAGCTGCAATGCTTAACATTAAATATGCCTCTCCGTAGCTGCGTGGCACCGCCGTGGACCGTCTAGCAGCTGTTCGCATCAGCCCTACAGCTTTCTATCCTCTGTTCAGGCTGCCGCTGAGTGAACGTGATGCAGTGATGCAGTAACGCGGCCTAACCGCACCCTCTCAACGCCCACATCGGCTGCCCTGTGCTGCACTTATCGTCCCGAGGTGCAGCTGGACGGTAAACACTACTGGGCAGGCAGCCCCTGATCCAGACCCAGCGCAATGTCCCATGCTGTGGCAATTCTTGTAAACCAGCGCTGCGTGCCTCCAGAGACCCATCGAGCCGGCACAGCGGCGGCCCAAAGCCCGCCAAACCAGCCCTCCCGAGCCGCTCAGGCTGGTAGCCGACTTTTGTGCATGGCAATATGGTGGGTGCAAGCGCGCATGCCATTGGAAGAGAATTTGTGCATCTGGGTCCTGAGGCCTGTCCTTAGACTGAGTGATGTCCTGGGACGGGAGCTACCCAGGAACAAGCCATGAGATACTCCTATCCCTTACGAAGCTCGCCATCCAGACGCGGCCCACGCCCCGTGGTGGATAAAGATGGTTGGGTTGCGAAGTAAAAGGAGGTGAAGCACTGTTGCATGCAAGGTGCATCGGAAAGAAGGTGTTTCATGCCATGCGGATAGGAGCCTGCCTTGCCCTGGCTGACGCTGTTCGTACAGGCCGTACAAGTGCCTAAAGACCCCGCTTCCTGGTTGCATCCATTCCATAACAGAGATATAAATAAAGGAAGGATGATGCTAACTTCATGGATCCAAGAAGTATCCAGGTTAATCAGGCGTACCGTAGGAGGCGATGGCGATACCCGTGCCCACCACCAGCATGTTGAGTGCGGCCTTCAGTGTGAACTTTTCCGTCGCAAAGAGGACTCCAACAATAAAGACAACCATCGGCATAGATGCCTGTGGGCAGGGTTGCGATGCTTAGCAGACAGGCTGGCCAGTAACCCTCTGCAGCCTGCATTACCTTTAACATTTGTATGAAGGAGACACTCAGGTATAGGTAGGCTGCGTTGCCGAGCCAGAGCGTCCCCGCGAATAGCAGACCAATGGGCAGAATGCAACTGCAGTTGGTGATACAGCAAGGTGAAAAAACTGACGGCCGATGCGTCGAACCCGGGCCGTTGCAAGTCGCACCTGAGATATGTGTCAGCTGAGATGTTTACTGCCTCTACAAAGCCTAGTTTCACAAGAAGAAATGCCAGCGTAGCACAGAAGAGCATATGGGTGCAAGTCAAGGCAACCGGATAGGGAAAGCCCGACATTGACAGCACATATTTGTTGATCATGATGACGGCTGCGCTCAACCCAATCCATAAGAACATGTATCTGCAAATTCAAAAGCGGGCACAGTTACAGGCGACGATTGAAAGCGAGGTATGGTGGCCGCTACTCCTGTGATTAGGTGCATTATCCACAATTGTGACCTTATGGAACGTTACTGACCCATATGTAATCACCAGCTGCAGGGCCAGCCCCTTAGGAGCTGCTTGACCCTCGGCCATTTCCGTTCAGCCTAAACGTTTTGGGAGATGGAAGATAGGATGGTAAGGTGCTACTCTATGTACAGTTCATCTGTTACAGCGTTTACAGCGAGTATACGGCCAGTTTAGCAATGGTTCGATACAGTCTGCAGTTGTAAATAGCGTACAGGTACTACACCGGGACTTTCACGATGCAATCAATGATGCCGCCGTGTGCGGTAGCGCCAAATCCTGCTAATTTTCAAGAAGTGTAAATGCGTTTTAATATCAACCCATGGACGTCGTTTCCGGTTTTCACCTTGCCGGACAATTCTATTGAACGTGAGAGCCGTAGCAAATAGGATTCTCCTTTCCTATGAGTACTTGTAGATCTACATCATAGCTAGGAACTTGCACTTCCGGAAACCTCTCGGCCGATCATAGGGCAGCCAAGCGGCGCTTTAACCCAATTGTTAGTGTATTGTCCTTGATAGGATGCTGACGCGGTTGCCACGCCTATTGCGGCTTGGCAGTGGCGCGAAGGCAGCTTCAGATGAATGTTGTCGGCGAGCGATGCAGACGGAGGCAAAGGGCGCCCACAGCGTTCTGGACGAAGTCGCACAAGCCCGGCTTAAACGCATTAAAAGCCAGCTAGAGGCCACTGGGGAACTCCCGGTGGAGACCCCCAGGAGTGCAGCCTGGCAGGCGGTTCGATATCTGTGGAATGCTCTCCTGTTGGGCACCGCTGGCACCGGTGCGGCGGCCGCGTACTACACATACGCCTACGACACGCAGGAGCTCACAGATATTGTGAAGCGTACTCGGGTGGAGAGCAAGGACCAGCCGTTGTCACAGGCGTGGTGCGATGCCATGGAGCGATACCTGAACTTTCGCCGGAACGTGGAAGCGCGGGTTAAGGAGTACACGGACCCTGCCACCGACAAGCTTCTCCCCGATCTTCATCCGCAGCTTCGGGGAAACCTTATCACGCTAGTCCTGGATTTGGACGAGCTGCTCGTGTTTAAGGAATGGACGCGCCAAAAGGGATGGTCCATTTACAAGCGACCTGGCGTCCAGGAATTCCTGCTAGAGCTGGGGCAGTACTTTGAGATTGTGATCTACACGGACGAGCCCGCGACATATGCGGACCCAATTCTTAACAAGCTGGACCCACATCGCATCGTACCATTCCGGCTATACCGTACGGACACACAGTATCAGGACGGCAAGCACGTGCGCGACCTGTCGAAGCTGAACCGTGACCTCACGCACGTCCTCATGATTTCTGCGAAGCCGGAGGTTGGTACACGAATGTATAGCTGAATGGGTGGCATCTCACGCTTGCCGGCGACTGGGCAGGGACGCATCTTGAGTGCCTTGGACAGCAGGGCATGTCGCACGTGTGATGATAATGGACAGGCCTACAGGAACGATGGCCCGTGGGTCGCTTGCAGCCCTACGCCGCAGCTAACCTTCAGAGGCGTGTTCTTGCATGCCTGCTTGAATGCCTTGCTTTATTTTAGTCGCGGTGATTGGCTAGGGAGTAGGGACCCCAGCGCTTGGGTACCTGGCGTGGGGACATGCCGTAAGGTTGTACTGCAGCCCCCTCCTGTTCCCACACAACTCCCACCAAGTTCACCATCCTGCTGCAGCGTCCATGGCTCCTGGCCGGCCAGCCGCCGCACTTTCCACGGAACTCCTGTCACGTGGTGGCCGTATAATTCAACTTCGCGCCTGCCGCTACTGTTGTGTCTCGATGCTGATGCCTACTGATGCTGATGCCGCTGCCTGCTGTGCTCCGTAGGCCTGGGAGTTCCAGCCGGAAAATGCTTTAAAGTTGCGGCCGTGGAAGGGCGAGCCTGGTGACACGGGCCTCATCGACCTCTTACCATTCCTGCAGTTCCTTGCGATGCGGCGTGTTCGGGACGTACGCGACGTCGTACGCTCGTACGATGGCGTGCAGGACATCCCTGCCGCCTTTAAGGCACGCCTGCAGGAAGCTGCGTCACACCAAAAACAGGTCAAGCGGGGGTTCTTGATGCCGCCGCGGTAGCAGCATGAGAAGAATGGATGTCACCTTGTGTTTCCCGGTTGTGTGCTTGTGGGGTTATGCGGGGATTTTGAGGTATATTCGAAGTTAGGATGTTGGACGGACAACGGTGCTGCCGTACGCGAAACACTGTGCAACTGCATGCGGAATATGGGGTTGGAAGATGGGTAAGACATTATTTAGGATGGGCTGCGCTGCTCAGACGTTGCCGATTGTCGCGTCTGTTGGAGCGCCTAGCTGTTAAAGAAGGAAAAAGGCTAGGCGTGTGGCCTTGCAGTTGGGGTGTAGCCTTGATTATGCGCGAAGACGTTTGTTTTATTCCAATGACCCATCATCTGCGCGAAGCCAATTGGGCTGAGAAAGCGCCGGGGCAGAGCTGTGGTTGACATGAATACGTATTGATAGGCTAGTGGCGAGGCGCGGTTTGAGGGGCCTAGTTGACCACATATCGCAGCCAACCAGCCAAGCTGTATAGCCGCCCGTTTGGCTGTGTAAGGGCATGTTAGCATATTCGCTTCTGCGGAAGATATATGGATACAGCAGCAGCCGAATCGTGGAGGTGCACGGTGGCAGCGCACGCCTGTCTGTGTCTTTCTTTTTAGCAGGATGTGTGTCTACGATAAGGAACTGAAAAATGGTGCCAAGGCGCATTTCCTTCGTTAACGGAGGTGCATTGCGTTCATCCAATGGTATGGGTTAACATCTCGCACCTGTGCTTTGGCTGGAAGCGGGGAGTGCGAGTATGCGGATCTTCACCTGTCAAAGGTTGGGGCAGCCTGTGGAGCTAGTCTGTAAGGAGGCAGTTAGACTGTGAAAAAACTCGTCCGCACGGCTTACAATGTACCCGAATGGTGCCTTGGCAACATGCAGCAAGGTTGTCCTGTGACAACGGCAAGGCTGCCCATGGGACCTCCGTAAAGCACTGTCCATCACCGAAAATGAATGGAAGAACGCATGAAGCACAGTATCTGGCTGATCACGACTCATGCAACGTGGTTGGTTTCGAGCAAAGCAAAGAGCAAGGCTCTCAGGCGGTCCGCCGCACTCCCAGGACAGCATACATTCGCACACGCTTACGCACGCGGACACAAGCCGACATGGCTGAATGCTTCGCTACAGCACTGCTGTCCTAGCAGCCACATCGCCATGGCAAAGATGCACAACGACACCAAAACTGAGGAACACAGGAAGCATGTAATGTCATGAACACGTGAAATGCACCGGCGCACGATTTAGCAATACCACGCCGGCTTACTGGCGAAGAGACGACTCCTGAACGCCAGCGGGCAGGATCCCCATGGGTCCACATAATCGCGCGGCAGCTGCGCATGGCTACGCAACAGCAAACACCCGAGAGCCCTGCAGGGCCCCTGCATATTGGCCGAGCTCCTCGCCTCACGCATTAGCCCCATCACCGTCACGATCACGACCCCTAAGCCTATCAACACAAAGCCACGAGGTCCATGCCTACCAGAGGCGCGAATAACAGGGCACCAGGAGCCATCGTTGAACGGCGTTCCGTGCCATGTAAGCACCGCTGCGGGTGCCGCCTGACACTTGCCAGCCTGAGGACCTATGTGTGCATCCCATAGCCGTCCGGATCGCCCTTGGGGTCCAGCACGCCCAAAGGGCGCTTGAATGCGAACAGCAGAACGTTACGTCACCAGTAGCAATACCCGTCCCCGTCGTGGCCGCCCAGCCGTGTGGTTAGCGGTAACGTGAAACACAGGCAGCGCAATACCATCTCTGTACCAAGTAACCAGCCGGCCGAAGCTCAATGATGTTGCCCACTTCGCTCATGCGGAAGCGGGCACGCCGCCTAGGAAACGTACCCATGATAGCCCCATTCAGCGTTGCGTTAGGAGGGGGAGTGCGCCCACATGCTATGAGCCTGCACTGCTTATAGCCGACAGTGTCAAGTGTGCCCGCCGTGGGTTGCACCGTAATCCCCAGGCGCGCCACCTGCTGCCTCGTCAGGCTCCCTCATGTCCACCAGAAGACGGCTATGGCCCAGTAGACCCGGCCCGCGCCAATGGCCACGGACGACGCTTCCTAAAATGAGAACCAAATGACAGTACCCCAGCTTATGCGTGGCCCTCACAACAACCCCCCGGCTAGGCACAACCTATGTAACACACCGCTGCACGCGCACGCGCCTTGTCAATATTCCATGCGCAACAGCAAAGCCGCTGCCGCATCATACTGCATCGTACTACAGCACCCATTTAACACCGCCGGGTGCCCCAAGGCCGCGAGAGTTCTTGCGTGCAGCACTTCACCCCTTGGTAAACCCATGCCCCACCCTTCCACCCTTTCTTTTTAGCGCTTTCCTCGCATCCATGCCGCCGCTGCCATTCACCATGAGCCCTTTTGCCACATATCGACAAGCCAGCCGCTGTTTGCTACGTCATGGGGTCCCCCTGGCCCCTTGCCCACACACTCCTCCAGCCCCGCATAAACCCGCACCCCAATATTTTCCCCTCACTCCGCAGCCACATCCGCGGCCGATGCGCTCCCCGCAAGCGCCTGGCTGGACCCCGTGGCCTTAAAAAACTCATCCTCCAGCTGCCGTAGTTGCTCCTCCGTCACACGGTCCGTCACCTCGTCCTTGCGCGCCATCTCCTTGCGCGCCTTGACCTTGGCTTCCTTGATCGCCTTCTCCAGGTTCTTCTCCCGCGTCTGCTCGCGCTCAAACATGGCGCTGATAGCAGACTTCTCCGACGGCGCCGCCTCCGACAGGCCTTGGCTGAGATGCAGCACCGACGTGCAGCCGTCGCTGGTGCCGACCGCCACAGTGCTGCCGGACTCCTGCACCGCGAAGGCGGTGAGCGCTAGGTCAGAGACCTGCACCGTGAGCGTGGGCTCGTTGTGCTTGTAGTAAAGGTCCCAGACGTCCAGCGCGCCGTCCATCTTGATGGTGAAGAACACACCAGGTCGGGATGGGGACCAGGTACCGCCGGTGAGGTAGGTCGGGTGGTAGCGGGTGGTGAGGATGGGGGTCTTGACGGCGGTATCTTCCACCCAAACGCGCGCAGTCCAGTCGCCAATGGATAGGAAGTACTTGGAGTTGAAGGGGTTGCGGCGCAGGCCATAGATAGGGCCGTGGTGGCCAGACAGGACGTACTTGACGCGGTCAACGGGGTTCTTGGCTTTGCGGTTGCAGGAAAAGATCTGGCCCTGCTCCGTGCCGACCATGAAGTTGGTGGGTCCGGCATTGGTGTCGTACTCGAGTACGACGCCGCCCACCATGTTTTCCGAGTTCTTTTCCTTGAGCGGCATGCTCTCAACCGACTCTGCCAGTTTGCGGATATCCCACCAGTAAATCATGCCGTCCGTGGACACAGTCATACATTCAGTACCGGTCTTGGACTGCAGCCAGGCAAAGTCGTAGACGGGGTCACGGTGGCTGTAGTCAATGGGGGTGGCCTCCACGGGGCTGGTGCCTTTGCGCACGTCGAAATACGCCATCTGGCCGTTGTACTGGCCCGCGCCGACCAGGTTGTTGTCCTTGAGGTTGAACTTGGCGCAGCAGATCTGGCTGGTTGGAACCAGCTCGTATTCCGGCGTGTTGGGGTTGTTAACGTCCCAGATATAGGAGCTGAGCGGCATGCCAGCGGGCTGCTGCTGGAACTGCAAGATGGAGTAGGAGATGACGACCTTGGGCACGGCGCCGTCGGGGTGCCAGTTGACGTAGGAGGCGCTGCGCTTGATTGCGTTGGGGTCCTTGAACACCGTGACCGTCTTGACGTGGGGCGCCTCGGAGGTGTGGTCGGTGGTTACGTTGGTGAAGTACTCCTGGTAAATGTCCACTGCGTTGTTCTGCTTGATCAAGTCCTCCACGGACATACCCAGCTGGACTACCGTCTTGATGTAGTCCTCGTCCTTCTCGACCTTTTTGCGGTAGCGGATGGTGTGCTCCGCTTCCGTGTAGTCCACATCCTTGGGCCAGCCGCCCTCCACGTGGCTCATGGCCTTGTTGACCAAGATGACCGCGTTGGTATTAGCTTCGTGTTCCGACATTTCCGGCACGCATTGTGTCACGGTGGTGACAGGGTTGCGCGGGATGTACTCACGGCCGTGGTCCTCGTTCGGCCGGATGTCGGCGAGCATCTCGCTGCCCTCATCTGTGAATTTGGGCCAGCGCCCGAACTGCTTGCGCAGCTTGATGTACTGGTGGTATATCTCCATGGCGCTTAGGTAGTCAGCTTAGCTGCGCACACGCCGCGGCTGCTGTGTGGTGTGTGATGCGGCTCCTGAGGCTGCTGGTGGTGCTTGCAGTCAGGCTCAGGGGCTGCTGATAGCAACCGCTGAGTTGGTGGATGCGAGGCCCGCGCGCCCGCGTGAGGACGACCCCACCGCCGGCGTCAGCGGTAGGTATGTTGGGAGCCGCTCGGCTGCGCCCTCCAGCACCCTCCCTGCGTACACCGGGGTAGTCAATCCAATGTACAGTCCTCAGGATGCTTATGCGCGATGGCGAAACCGTGAGCATGCATAGCTGCACACATGGAAAGTAGTGGCAATCTCGACGACTACAAGTTACACATGAATAATGTCAAGGAACTTGGACGTGCAAGCTCTGCTTCAGTCAACAGTTAGAGCGAGGTTGCGGTGCTTTCCATGACCTACCAGTCGCACCTGTCAGCACCGCTGGTAGAGCTCCTTTAATCCACTGTTTAGGTTTGGAATTCTAAGTAGGACCATCCATTCCAGTGTAAGCAAGAACGGGAAGAATTCAAAGGCCGAAAGTCTTATATGAATTGTCAGCGGCAAATCTACTGTAGCGTGTTGAGCTGGGATCGAAGCAAATGCTGCCACGTTACCTGGCTTCAATATGCCGAGTTCGGGTAGAAGCTGGGAACACCAGACAACTGGAGGGCCTGTACGGCTCGAGACAGTTTGGAATCAACTGAAGTCTGGTAGTTCTGCTCGACTGCAGGCGCATCAATGAACAAGAGGGAAGTTTTCTTATGAGTCAACGTACAGCCGTCAGAGTATGAGTTATGTTGTGCGTTTGCTCTGGCAGGTTAGGCTTCCTTGATGTACTGGATATACTGTAGTAAGTACTAATTAAAGTGAATATTGTGGTTATCGATCAGCAATGGACCGCGACCGCGAGCGGGGGCGGGGCGGCGGGAGACCTGGACCATCTCCGGGACAGCTGCTGGACAAGGTATAAAACGGCAAAGCCAATACTTCGCTTGAAATCAGATGGAGACCTGCTGATTGTTTTACCAACTACCATCGTCGCGGATGCGATCGAGCTGGGTGTAGTCTTACCCCTTGGCTGCGGATGCGCGCGGATAATGCTCATCATGGAAGGGTCGTCCCCGGTCTGCCAGCGCAGCGATGGGTTGTGCCCATCACACAACCCGTGTCCCGGGCCCCCTTGCTGCAGGTTCGGCAGCTGCGGGCGAAAATTTCTCAGGACGTGTATGATCTGACTGGTTGGGACCAGGCGTGGGAGGAGCTCAAGTCCTTACAGCTATCGGACGAAACACGGGCCATATATGAGGAGCTGGTCGCAGCGTTCCCCACAAAGGTAGCGTGACAGGGGGACCAGCACCGCTGCTCCCGGGAATCCAGTTACCGCTCCTGGCAGGACGGCGCAGCGCAGCCCCGGCCTTAGCACCCCGGCATAGGATTGCCGTGACCTAGAGGGATTTTAGGCCGAGTCCACACTTGCTGCTCCAGGAGCTGCAGAGCTCAGCGGCTGCAGCGGCTGACGGCGCAGGTGGCAGAGGCGGCAATGAAGGGGCCGGCGGCGGCAGTAGCCCCTACAGTGCATGACCTGCCCTCGGTGGCAGCAGCGGCTATGGCCTCTAACCCAGGTCCCCTGGGGCCATGGCCCTTGCCAGCAGTCCCCCGAAAAAGGACCCCCGTCGGGCATGCACACCACGCCAACGGCGTTCCGCCAGTCCTCACCAACAATCCGGTTACACATATTGGATCTCTTTCTACACCACACCACCGGTGCAGCCGCTGGTGTTGCTGCTGCTGATCCCGCCGCTGGCCCACAGCCCGATCCGTGCGCTTCACCTCACCAGCCCCGGGTGGCGCAGTCCCAAGATGCACATGCACAGCACCGCAGCTAGGAGCACAGGAGCTTGGTAGGACACAATCACACGGGGCCTGGCCACATGCACGAGCACCCGAGCTAGGTCGGGCATCGCCTCCCGAGGGCCATACAGCACGGACCTGGGTGCAGTCTCCTGTGTCACCGCTACGCTGGAAGACT